GACAGCTCAAATACTTCAAAGATATGCTATGTGGTGCTTATAATAAATGCAACTTCGTCACAGATTCGACAGCGACTGAAATTTCCGCGGTACTGTCTACGCACAGTCCTGCAGACATAATATTATGTTCGTCTTATGTCTTGAGGGCATTTTCCAGGAAGGTAGTTGCTCACTGTACAAACTGTTCGTCGTGATCCAGAAATGCCGATGTTTGCAACTGCTTGAAACATCCCGTAAAAACCAGGGAACCTGACATGTAAGCATCGCTTTTCATAATGCATTATATTCAGATTTACTAAGAAGTACGAGTGCCTTAGAACCCGTTTTCCACGGGCCCATGAAGACATAAGAAATCACCGGATTGCTCGAAAGTCAATTTGGGCCCGCTGTTAAGAGAGACATGTACTGAGCCTGATCAATTACACAAGCAATCGTGTGTTTTACTTCCATACGACAATTTCTGTTGATTTTTCTTCCTTTTTTATATCATGCTTACCTTCTTTTCTTTATCTCTTCACATCCTAAGTTTATTATGTGGATCATGTACATATTACTGTTGCTTTTTACTAACATTTACGTGTTTAAATAAATAGATGAAATACCAACGACCTTGGGTGGCAAGCTAACCACTTAGGAAACACTGTCTAGTCACGGAACAATAAACAATAAAAAGCAACCAGTTTAAGGGTGGAATAATGGTGTCAGTATGACAAATTATCCTTTACATGCTCATTCGTTCATTACAGTAAGGGGAAGAGGTCAGGCCCATGCATTAAGAATCGAGCTATTGTTGTGCGTTATGGTTACGACACTGTATAGTCTCATAAACGACCACCATCAGTTATTATGCCAAAATTTTGGGGTCGGGTATTGGGAGTTAAACGGGAGTCATGTTTCAGAATTACAAATTGGGTTTGAAATATTCACCCCGAGCTAACGTCAAATGAAATACAATCATGTTTCATCACTCTTTCGTTTACAAACCCAAGACACTTGCGATTAAGTGAAACAGTTAGAGTTTAGAATGAGAAAATACTAATAAGCAATACATGCGTCCCTGGTTATATGTCGAATCTAATAAAGTAAAATGAGAAATCATCCTCATCAGAGGCGAGCATTTCATCTGGCATGGATCATCTAATTATTTTCACCAATTTGTCGCATACCGTGGTCTCATATACTTAATTAATTAATTACGCCTGTTACTCCTCGTGGAGGAGCATAGGCCGCTAACCAGCATGCTCTTATCCAACCCTGTCCTGAGCAGTCGTCTCCAGTTATTTCCAGTTGTTAGTCTTTTTTTTTCATATCTACTTCTACTTGCCAGCGATGGGTATTTGAAGTTTGACAACGCCTTAACCAGTAACACCTTCCTTCATAAATCGCACCCACCTAGCAAAACCAAAAGTAGGAATCAAGAAGGTTCCAAGAAACATTTGTTAGGCCATCAATATATCGAGAATCGACTAGTCTAAGCTGGCGAGTGGTTGCAGGGGATGTTGAGCATGGTGTTTCCACTCGTGATCTGGTGCGGATGCATGACCGAGCGCCTTCAGCTAGGTGAGTTCATTAAAACTAACGTGGTTGGCATCCAATGTCGAACACTTACAGAGTTATTGATTTTGTCGATTTATTTACCTCTACAATACCGTTTTTCTGACGTTCAAACTAAGACTTTACATGGTCAACAGTAACTGGCGTTGCCACTAGTACACTTGGTTATCAGTATTACGTTCTGTACTTGATTATAACAGAATACGATGTACAACTTACGGTGCTAGAAAGTGAATAACTCCACATCCGCAAATCAGAAGAAGCAGGGGAAGTAATTGTTGGGTAAGAACCATAAATGTACAGAAGTACATGGGTATTTACAGGTATTAGCGTTGACTATAACATCGTTATAATACAGCCAATCTTCAAGGAGGTAAGTTATACTATTGCCCAATCGTAGCGTGCAACGTTGATATTCTAGAGGGCTCCATCCAGTTCCGATTGGATGGGGCGTCCCTTCAGCCCGACTTCGGAGTAAACTAAGAGCCCAAACAATTCCTATCCAACTTGAAAATGTCCCCGACCATACACACAGATCGCCTGTAATGGCGATGTACACTTCATTTCAGACTGGTATATTTAGACCGGCGTATCTTGAGCTTAAAGTGTATCACAATTAGTTAAGAGAAGATTAAAGAAACCTATTAATAATTTTTTCATCTAATCTTCACTTTATGACACCTTTGCGTGAAAAAGCATGATGAAATAGACATTTTAAAACCCTATCCATCGTAATCTCACAAGTACCTACACAAATGCATTTTGCTGACACACTTGAGTTGACTGACGAGGTGTAAGATAGATTATGGCATATTTTCGCGTGAAATCCAAAGCACGCAATCTTGTAGGGGATTTTATGAGCTTGCTGAACCACCAGTTCATCTTTCCCTCTCTTATCCTCTACTTTCTTTTATCCTCGCTAATCTGCACGGTGCCAAGTACTTGAGGTACCTCTAGGTTGACTGCAAACAACTAGAATGTTAGGCAGCTTTTACTTCGTGAGCAGCTGGTTAGGTGTTCTGCCATGTTTGATTCTTTATATGTTTGAAATTCGTACGAATTTTTATTAATCTCAAGCATAGGAGACCACGGGAGAACTAGCAATGAAGGCAGAAAAAGCTACAAGGGAAGGGAATATGAAACAAAACTACATGATGCAATCAAGAAACTGGCAGGGAGATAGGGCGAACTGGAGAGTTCAGTCAAGGACAAAGAGGGAAAGACAATCACAGACTCAAGAACAGAGTAAAAGATAGGCAGAATACTTCGAGGAACTGCTGAATAGATCAGCCTGATTGAATACACCGGACATCGAAGCAGCTCACACAAACCTTCCTATTTATGTCACTCCACCAACGATCGAAGAAGTCAAGATGGTCATCAGACAAATCAAGAATGGGAAAGCTGCGGAACCTGACAATATGCCGTCTAAATCACTGAAGTCAGACATTGAAGTAATTGCAAACATGCTTCACCTTATATTCAAGAAGATTTGGGAAGAGGAACAAGTGTCAACGGACTGGAAAGAAGGATAGCTCATCAAGATACCAAAGAAAGATCTGAGCAAATGTGAAAACACAGAGGCATCACACTGTTGTCAGTACCAATAATAGTTTTCAACAGAGTGTTGCTGAACCAGATGAAAGACGCAGTAGACGCCCAACTTTGAGATCAACAGGCTGGATCGAGCAAAGATCGGTCGTGCACAGACCAGATTGCGACACTACGGGTCATCGTTGAACAATCAGTTGAGTGGGATTCGTCACTATACATAAACTTCATTGACTTTGGGAAATCGTCGACAGTGTGGACCGGAGAACATTATGGAAACTTTTTCGATACCGCGGAGTTTCTCAGAAGATTGCCAACGCTATGCAGAACTCATACGACGGACTACAGTGCAAAGTGGTGTATGGAGGACAGCTGACAGATGCATTTCCAGTCAGGACCGGAGTCAGACAAGGCTGTCTACTCTCCCGCATTCTCTTTCTTCTGGTGATTGAATGGATTATGGAGACTTCGACATCTGAGGGGAAGCACAGAATAAAATGGATATCTCAGAACCAATTGGACGATTTGGACTTTGCAGATGACCTAGCTCTCCTATCTCATACAGACGAAGGCAGCAAATGTAGTAGTAGCCTCTGCATCAGTAAGCCTCAATATGCACAAAGGTAAAAGCAAGATCCGTAAATACAGCACGGTCAACATCGGCCCAATCATACTTGATGGAGAAACTCTGGAAGAGATTGAAGCATCCATGCACTTGGGAAGCATCATTGATGAACAAGTACGATATGATGCAGATATAAAGGCTAAGATTGGCAAAGCAAAGACCACATTTCTACAATTGAAGAACATATGGAACGCAAAGCAACTCTCGAATAACATGAAAGTGAGAATCTTCAATACGAGCGTCAAGACAATCCTACTGTACGGAGCTAAAACGTGGAGAACTACTACATCCATCGTCAAGATGGTACAAGTATTTACAAACAGTTGTTTACTCAAAATACTCCGCATTCACTGGCTGGATACTATCAGCAACAGCCTTCTGTGGGAGAGGACAAACCAGCTTCCTGCTGAAGAGGGAATTAGGAAAAGGCGTTGGAAGTGGATAGGACATCCAGTAAGGAAATCACCAAACTGCATTACAAAGCAATCCCTAACGTGGAATCCGGAATGAAAACGGAAAAGAGGAAGGCCAAATAACACATTACGCCGGCAAGTAGAAGTAGATATGAAAAAAAGACTAACAACTGGAAATAACTGGAGACGACTGCTCAGGACAGGGTTGGATAAGAGCATGCTGGTTAGCGGCCTATGCTCCTCCACGAGGAGTAACAGGCGTAATTAATTAATTAAGTATAGGAGACCACGGTATGCGACAAATTGGTGAAAATAATTAGATGATCCATGCCAGATGAAATGCTAAATCTAACCTCTCACCCCAGCATACATCTGTAAATCCTAATAACTATTCTTTACACTAATTTGTAACCAAGTAAGTAAGCGGGGATTCTCAAAGTAGCGTCGTTCAAAGGTCGTCCGTAAGTCAAGCGGCAACTTTTTTCTTGGAGCACCGAAGGACTATAAAGACCTTTTAATTGTCAAATTTTGGCAGTGGTCTCACGTAGTCCTTGTTTCCCCCACCAAAAAGTAAACACTGAAAGAGAAATACACAATTCTTTGCATAGTATCAGTGGTTTTATATTCCTAGATTTTCAGTTGGGACGAATTTCACAAGACTAAACATCGTTTGGGAGTAGGATAAAATTGACAAAGTAAACATAAAGAACGTCCATATACAGTAAGATTAATGAGATATTCAAGCTTTGTAAAGCTTTCATTGTTTGTCTTTATACACGTATAAGACCTAACTCTATGGTAGCCATGATACTTAAGTCAATTGTTACTTTGAATTGAGCAGTTCCTCGGTCTTGTTAATGCATATACCAGTAGTTTCGGTAGTTTAATGCCTACAATCTTACTAGCTAAGCTGCTTCATTTATCATTCAAACTTATTGACCCTTAATTACATCCGTGCAACAGATTAGTGCTAAGTGAATCGTAACATGCTGTTTTTATCTCTTTTTACGTCGACCTTTGTTTTACCTTACTATAGTTTTTAAAAGGTGCCAAAGCTTCAAGGAACTGGTGTTTTATCGAGGTAAAAATACACATTATAACTTCCCTTGATGCCACCATTGAGTCTGTATGGATGTGGCTTGTCAATAGTTATATAAATGAGACCCATGGAGACATATTTCATACCGTGGCAGTTACTAGATGCAGCTACGGCTTCCTGCATTTTGGCAGGCTTTTACCATCAGGCTTCTCGGTCCTTGCGTAAGCTTTGCATAATTTCATAACATAGGAATCTTCGTTTATGGTCAAACTTTAGGTCACCCAGGGCAGATCGACGTGCTTCGAAAGTTTTAAGGAGCCTGACGAAACCCAGTGCTTTTAAGTGTAATGTTTCGCTGGACTCCAAGCCACTTTACTCGTCTTTTCGATTTGGTCATGCAACCGCCCAAAATGCTCATCTTTACTTTTCAGTGTGCTGGTAGTTATCCCTGAACCTAGCTTGGTTTAGTACTTAGCTGCTACCAACACGTTAACTTTTAGTCGTTTAGGGTGATAAATATGTTGGCCGCGTCAAAGAATTCTTTGAGGCCACTGATATTGATGTTAATATTTATTCTAGTTACCGATTTTCTGCATTTTTGTTTAATTTTATCATTGATAAAATCCCTCATTATATTATCTCTTACTATAAGATTCACTTATGGATTTAAAAGATTAGAAAAGATTTTGTCTTCTAAATACTTTGCGTAACAGTGGAAGAATCTTTGAGATATATTTCCATCCATCTAATTACATCATATTGCTTCATAATCGTCCGAATGAATGCTTGGTCTTGCTATATAGAGTAAAGTAGTTGATAATCTTGGACACTTAACTAGGAAGTCTCCCCAACCCTTGTAAGCCAGTGGCTGATGACATCACAACACAGGTTAAAAGTGTCCGCTTGGCTTTTGGCAACTTGGGGCATTTGTGGCATAGAGATGTCCATCTGCCGACTATTGGAAGAATATACTGCTCAACAGTTTCCTCTCCTTGTAAATACAGAAAGTGGATTTTAAATGGTGAGGATACTCGTTTGTTACTAATATTTGGTCATTGAGTTTTTCGAAGTACTGCTCATGTATGTTGAGACTACCAAGTGAGCAGTGTTCATATTACTTGCAAGATAGGAGAATATGGATCGCTTTTATTTTTATTATTACTCATTATTAACGGCTTTATTCATGAACTTTGATCAACTGAAGTGCATGTGACGTGTTATGCATGCCTTATTTGAACCCAGTCAGTAGTTACAGTCTTCCGAAACTTTTGTATATTTCTGGTCATTGTAGGAACGAATGGGCAAAAACATGGTTAAGGATGATCGCGTCAAAATATGACATAAAATTATATTGCTACTGCTTGGTTGTTTGAATCTCTAAGTAGCTTCGAGTTTTTTTAGTTAACCCTTAATAGACTACCTTAATTTTAGATTATTCGGCTGATAGTCAATTACCGAAGTTCTTAAGATCTCTATTTGTACAACGCATCTACTTTTATTGCTTAGTAGTCTTCGGACAATTCACCCGAGTAGCCGCCAAATCAGAACGCGATTGATCAGGAACGAAATTATATTCCAAATAAATAAAGTTGAATGGGAATAACAATCATATAGCGAAAGCTGTAAGTTTATAATGTATACACAAGAATATTCTAGACTTCCTCATCTACTTGCGCCGACAAGCTAAAATGGGCCAGTATGTCCCAACATCATCCTTCATGAAACATGCGTTAATCCAATCTATAACCTGGAAACACCTCCCCTTCGAGGAAATTCGTAGGACCTAGTCTTATGCTCCACTCGCATCTGTGTGACTACCATGTTCTTCCAATCTGTTGACATAGGCGATAAAGAAGTGGTATCACTTTGTCTGCACAGAAACTGCCCCATCCGTCTCTGGAGGTTTGATTTCAAAGGTATCTAGTAGGATATCAAGAGGTTTTCTATGTCGACTCTTGTTGCTTTAAACTTGATTAGCATGACGTACCAAAACTTTCGAGCCAATTTACACTTCATAAACCACATTTCCTTTCCTTCGTACCATTAAACCAGCTATCGATGTAGGATATTTGCCACGGTAGTCTATAGCAAATACTTTTTGACCCACAGTAAATACTAGTCTTTATCCTCCATGATGTCGATTGAATTACTTCTCCATCAGTCTGTTTTGTCGAGGTTCAAGGACTGGCACCAGACAGATGGGATCAAAATGGCTACGTACTTTTCTGCCTAGTAAAGTTCCGCCCGGAGAAACCCCGTTAGTTTTTTGAGGGTTCAGTATAGAGCAGTAGATGAGCACGAACCTTTCCAAAATCTCTTCGGTGATCGCCTCCCCCTTTGATTTCTGTAGAGAGTTTTTAAATGTGTTAATTAAAGCGTTCGACAGAATTCTGGGAAGATAGCAGATGTAAGCTGTCCTATTGTCGTTAACTATTAACCCTGAAAGTACTGAATAGTTGACGTAGTTTCCTGACTGTGCAACTTGCAGTTGCACGTTCCATGAGAAAAATTTCTGGCCTCTTTCTGTACGCATCAGCTACCAAAAGATGAGTTTGTCCATGGAGTGGACTAGTGAAGCCCAAGTACATACGCTGCCACGGTGACAGGTGTTGGCCATGATTGCAGCTCCGCCTTCCGTGGTGCTTTCGTTACTGATGTGCATTCGGTGAACGGATTGGATAGTTGCTCCAGTTCTGGTGTCTAAGTGCGGAAATATACACAACTTCATACTAGCGCTTCCATGCGATATGTTCCTAGATGTCCTGCATGCAACTGTCCGAGTACTGCTGGTTGCAGCTTCTTTGGGGTTATAACACTTTCGGCAAACAGAAGGCAGTCATCATTGTTTGGAAGAGATAGTCTGCGCTGGCAAAACTACTGAAGCTCCGTGGATCTGATCTTCGAGGGCTACCCTTCTAGGTGGAACTTTCTAACTTTTTTGTAGAATTGAGTCTCGAAGAGTTTCTACTTCATCTGGTGAATCTGGTAAATGTTTTCACAATGGTGCAGTGACCAAGGTTAACCTCAAAAAACTGGAGAAAATTTTCCCCTCCCACTTGCCATTGGTGCAGATATTGGGGTTTCCAATGATAAATACGACATATTACACACACTGTTGAAAGGTTTATTAGATATTCCACGTTTTTCCATCTAGACCAAGAAGATGAAGGTTCGGTCGTCCTGTTAGATAGCACATTCCCTTAGAGTTAATTACGTTAAAGGAAAATTTCACTGTAGTTCGCTAACAGGTTTTAACGCAGAGGATCCTCACTGACACTACTCTCCATGCTCCCCTAATACACAGTAACTTCTGGCTAGACACAAAACCCCACACATATATGCTTCTTAAACGGCTAGGATCGTACATAATCTCAATCACTGCATAACAAACAAACAGTCGTTGGTTTGTTATGGATTGTTTCTAATGCTCTTGGCTTATGAGGTTTGAACCTAGTCATACTACCATAGGTCAAATTGAAATTTACCTGTTTGACTGATTCGTCATGTCTGATGTTTCAGACTTGTACGCTCATCTGTCAGTGTCTTGAGTGTGACATTTGGATCTTAATTTAGTCGAGTCATGAAACTAGTTCTAATCTCAACATCTTCAGAGCTTTGATGAATAATCAGCACTTAAATTGATCCTCCGTCAATTAGCGTAACTCGAGCCGTTCACACCAATTGCTAATATCTGCTTGAGTATCATAATCAACGGCCTCACGCCTCACCAAATCAAGACACTGATATCGAATACTAAACAGTAAAGAGGACTTATCGAATACCTCTGGAAGTTGGGTTACCCTCTCTTCGAAACTGAGATCTCGAGGTAATCTTGGCAGTATGTAGTCAACTTCATATGCATGTTCAGTGCTTTCCAACTTGCACTTCAACAATCGTGCCTTTCACGTGCCACCTTGTTTGCAGAATTGTATTTTAAGTGTGTCTCCTCAAATCTTGAATTACGTGGAGGAGGTACTTCAGCTTTCAGGGTTATAACTGAATTTTAAGAATGCCGCTAGCAAAAGCATCATAAAATATAGTTGATATAGCTTATGAGCCTAAGCACTAAATGTTAAGCTGTTGTATCAGAGTTCCCAAAAGAAGCAGGGTCTAAGATCTTTATTTTCCTAACGCTGAGTAGTGTACTATTTCATACTTTGTATTTCCAGTTTCTTATGCCTGATTACTATTAGTTATCAGTATCATTTATTTCATCTTATCGTTAATTATTCTAGTGACTTATTACCGATAGTCCAGTGTAAAGTTTGGGAAATTGTATCACAATGCAACTAGTCGGTATCTGTTCATCATGTTTTCCCAGTGTTTTTCTGTTTTTTTCTTATTTTATCTATCCGTGCTTTTATATTGTATAATATGACAAATCCATTTGCATTTTGTGATGTTTCATGTTATTATACCTATCTATCAAAGTTAGAACTTAGAATATTAACAAAGTAACTGGTTTCTGTCGTGTTTGGTGAACTAACTGATTCCCTATACTACTAATGTTATTGTGAAACTCTAATTTTGTTTGGGATATATGGTTTAATAAAATATAACTATTTTTATTCATCAGTTATAAGGTTAATGCGAAAAAGCAGTACGTACGTTTCCTACTGATAAATGGGTTTGTTGTTACCAAGAGGTTCGTATGTGTTTCCGGTATTGGCAAATGTATCGGCAGCTACCAAACGTCGAGCTGAATGGTCATATATCAAAATAAATATTACACATTCATATTCATCAAATGATAAGTCATCTGAATTTGAAGAGAATAATCCAACTCAGAAACTCTCACCTGAATTCCAGAAAGCTATTGCCCATGGCCCAAGTCTTTCTGAATTTATCAAACTAGGCAATAACAATCAGTCAACTAAGGAAGATTTCTTCAGTTCCCCGAGTTCAGTTAATAAATCGGGAAAACGGTAATTTAATTGTAGTAATTCATAGTGCATTCCCTTGGTGAACCGGTAGGCTTTTTACTTTGATCATAGCATATATTTTGAATATTTAATTGACAAAGTGACAACTTTTTCCAACAGGTCCTGACCGTTGTTGCTACATTAACGTGGTGATCAGGCTTGCCCATCGTAATGAATCAATCAGGTTATACTGACTGGAATAATCGTTCTTCAAGGTCCTAACATACCACGTAGGTCGGTTGAAGAGTGGTAAGACTAAGAGTGGCAAACCCAGAGTTTGAGGGCAAAGTCGTACTGTTGATTGTATAGAGGTGTGACAGCAGTAAGGCGTTTCCCTCAGAAAACCAACATAACAGGGGTTCTGCCTTCCCACAAATGAAGGGTGGGTTTATAAAAAATCGACCCTAAAAATGCACACCCCGCCTTATCCCACGGATATCCGTCTCCGGAGGTAAGGTCTCAGCAAGTACTGAGCCAACACGAAAATTACGTACAAAATGGTCGCGTGTGACCGACCTCAATCAGTTGTCCATTGGTCACTGCGGTCACGCTCTAACAGCATTCAAGACTACTGTATTCGTAATCAATTTCCCTCTTCAATACCCAATAATCCTCCTACCTCGACTGTCAACCCTTTTATTTCTCCCCAAGTGTCACCATGACCAGTGCGCGAAACACTCCTGGGTCTACTGAAACCTTGCTCCAAACTACACATTGGAGCCTTCAACGTACGTACCCCACGTCAAACCGGCCAGCAGGTCTTTTTGGCTAAGGTCCTCGAATTTCGTACGATTGATGTCTGCTGTGTCTCCGGAATACGTATACAGGATTCCAGTGTGGTCATTCACTTGACCTCACCTCGCCAAAACGGAGAGCCGACCAGATACACCCTCCGTTTGTTTGGCGAACCGATGGCTAGTTCTTGTGGACTGGCGGGTGTAGGCATAGCACTTAATACTGGGGCAGAACAAGCACTATTAGAATGGATCCTTGTTAACAGTCGGCTGTATGCTGTTTGACTAAACAGCTCCGTAAGAACTCAAAAGGTTAGGAGCACACGTCGTTGCCTCTTGGTCGTTTCTGTCTACGCTCCCACTGACTGCAGCCCGGATGAAGTGAAAGATGACTTTTACAGAAAGCTCTCTGAACTTCTTCATAAAGCTAAACGCTCAGACAAAGTAGTTGTAGCAGGTGACTTTAATACCCAGTTATGTAGCTTAAACTAAACAGAAAGACATTTACGTGGGTATTTTAGTATTCCGGCTCAGTGAACAGATAGTGGTGACTGTCTGCTGGAATTGTGCTCATACGATCGTTTATTTTTAGAAAGCACTAATTTTAAGAATAAGAAGAGACATCGTCTAACATGGCGACCTCCTGCACCAAACCAACGATGGACTCAAATAGACCATGTTGCCATCATTCATCATTGGAGAGGCTTGATAGGAGACTGTCACTCGTTCTGGAATACCTGTTTGGACTCTGATCATACTCTAATACGAGCACGCATCGTTTGCCCCTCACTGGACGAAGAAAAGCTGCATCAAGAAGACCCATTAGAGTTGAACTCAATGACAAAAAAGCCAAAAGTAGATTCTTGGAAGAACTGAGATCATTTTTGGGCGATTCTGAAAACGAGGCTAATCCAGATGTTGCTTAGAAAGATATGCAAACAGCTGTGAAAACAGCGGCGACATCGATTAGTGATCTGAACCGAAGAGTTACAAAAAACCGGTGGATTTCTACTAAGTCTGTTGCATTGATGGATTCTCATAAACTCATCCCATCAGGCTCCAAACACGATGAAGAGCGGAAGCAAATCAGATCTAAACTAACCAAAAGTGTACGGAACAGTCGTGAGAAGTGGCAGGCAACGAAAGTAAAGGAGATGGAAAAGGCAGCGGCTGTAAGTAACATAATACAGCTTTTCAGACTAGTGAAAGAAGCCGGAATTATTAATTCAAGTGTGAGACAATCTCGGAAAGTGACAACACTTTTATCTGCTTATGGCAAATTAGAATCCGATTTTGCAACCTCAAGTGGTGTGCGGCAAGGCTGTCCACTATGCCCATTTTTGTTTAACTTCACTATAGACCTATTGATGTAAATAACACTCGTCAACTGAATTTCCAGGAATTGACCTCCCACTAAGAGGTGGTGCTCTTCTCGATTCGGAATACGCAGATGACTTAGTTCTAACTGGTGAAGACGCTGATAATATGTAGAGTTTTGGTAGGATTGAGCAACAATGCCAGGATGTTTGAAGTACGTTTCAACTTAGAATGTGCAGATGATAAGATGTAGAGTCTTCTATTAGCACTGAGTACCAATGCAAGGATATTTGGAATGGGTTTCTTTCCCTCTAAATGTAAATTATTACTCCACGACTGGCCTGTGTCAACACCTAAACTAAGGCCAGGGAGTGAAGTAGTCGAACGCGTCGACAACTTCACTTATCTTGAAAGTCTGATCAGCCCTAATGGGTTGGTGTGTGACGAAATCTCTTCACGGATTCAAAAAGCTCGTTTGGCTTTTGCCAACTTACGTCACCTATGGCGAAGATGAGATAATCGTCCATCAATTACGGGGCGAGTATACTGTGCAGCAGTTGGTTCTGTTTTACTTTATGGCTGCAAAACGTAGCCATGAAGGGTAGAAATATTTGTTCTCACTACCATTAAAGTAACTGCTCCTGTGAATTTGGTGTTGGTCTTGTTGTGCTAATGATTTACGGCAACTCGCACTGATGTATGTATATGCCTGATCGTACGTCGTAGCCAACTGAATTTTCTACAAGGTGAGCTATTCACACTCTATGTTTATTGATTACACAGCTTAAAATGGCAGTTAGTGTAGCTGTAATTGTTTGAAACTCATTAGTCGTGTTCAAAAACAGTCAGAATGGATCAAACCGAGAAACTTCAAATCTAATAATGATAAAATACAGTTCATCTATTGAGTTTCGGATATGTAGTGCACATTTTTCAGCTTCAGTTATTTCACTAAATTAATATTCTAACACGATAGCTCGGTGGTTTTATGTCCATCACTTTAGTTGAATTTCTCTTTCCCTTTCCAGTAGAGTTGGTGGTGGATGTATGAGGAGTCCTAAACTATTATGAAACAGTGGTCTAGTGTTCCCAAGTTTTCAATATTCATTCATTGGATCTTACATTATTGTCAAATCGACCACCAAATTATATGAAACGTTCATAAAACCGCCGTATAAATGATAACTAGTTTACTGACTTGTAGTTTAGAGTCTTAGCCTAAAACCATCACATGGTCTCTTGCTTTTTATTTCTTCTAGTGACATCCAACCACTTTTTGACACAAAAATCATAAACCTGCTATCTTTGTGATGACTGCAATCTATTCTAAAAATTAATTTCTAATGAAGAAAATTAACTTCAAGAGTTACTTATCCAAAAATAGCATTCGTGGTGTTTTAAATGAATTCTGTGATTTGAATTTTTTCATAATTGACTGGATACGTGAAAAGTCCTTTGTATTACTTTTTATTTTCTACTTAAATATCATGAAGGACTAAATACTCATCATGAAACGTGTGTAAGAGTATTTATTTATTTATTTAAACATTTAAATATTGGTACAAGGAAGCACCAGATACATATACGCCGCACAAATCTCATTCGATTTGTGTGAGGGCTGTAATACTGCCCAGGTGCCCAAACTGAAGCAGGTGGTTTTCTTAGGGGGCCACACCCGGAGTTTTTGACCTAAAGATCTGATCCACAAGGCAGTGGATCATCGTGAGGAGATGCAGTCCCATGGTAGCCGGTGACCAACGATTGATTCATACGCCATTTGTTCCCTCAGGATACTGGAGCCCATGTGCACCATTGGTTTGGAATCAAGGTTCTCCAACTCCCTTAGGTGGATCCTTCGTATCCACCAACCCGGTTAAAGCTCCGGACATTCGCTTTTCGTCCTCTCACTTTCGTGAACAACACTCCCGCCACGAGAAGGCAGTGAGTAGGACTTCCCTGACAGAGGCTATATACGCGTGGCCATGTGAGAGCATTTGGAAAGGGAGAGCGGACTCTCCTCACTCTCGGCAGTACCAGGGCATTCGGGGGCTCGTGTGCGAGTATATTATAACGGTATTTGTCTTTCTTGTAAACCTCCATTGATCATATTCTTATGTGCATCCCAAAGTAATGTGTATCCTTAAGTATTACATAACTAATTATATGTTTCTTTGGTTGATATGACGCTGGATATATCATTTCTATTTACTTTATAAACTTTAGTCTCCGTCTTCCAGAATGGTTAAAGACTGAGATACCGTGTGGCGGTAGTGTGGCGCGTTTGCAAAAACAGTTACGTTCCCTCAATTTGCATACCGTAAGTTATACACTTTTTTGTTTTTTTTCCTTGTGTTTTCCTCGTACTTCCTGTTTTAATCAATTTTTATATGGTTCACTTCACAAATTTTCAAGTTTCCAGTCTATCGTCTATTTTGAGCCAAACATAAATAATTCGTTAACACTATGATTAAACCGCATTTTCGAAGGAAATGGTGGTTGGAAAATTCTAATGATATCTTTTTTTATGAACAATACTTAGTCTCGGTTTCTATATTTAATCAACTTCAGTTTTTAACTGCATTTTTGTTTTGCTGGGAAATTGGTCTAGTCAAAGTATGTATGTTCGCATTTTAGAAATAGATAATCAATTCATTCATCAATATAAGCCAACTAACTGTTGCTGATATTTTGTTGCCTCTTTCGCTGTGCTTATTAGCCTAAATTCCGAACCATAAATTTCCCAAAATATTGGGCACTCCTAGTATCCATGCCATTCCCTGTAATGAGTCATATGGAACACTAAATATGATTCATCTCCTTCATTTTCTCATCACATAAGCTGATATCGAAATTGGTAATAGTTTGTTTACTGGTAATCAACAAAGGAATGTAATATTAAATGCTATATTTAGACCATTTATATGTACGGACTATAATGAGTGATTTTGCGTTTACCATATATGCAACATATAAACAAATCAAAATAATGAATTTCGCTACGTTTATTTTGGAAAATGTTTAAGCATAGCTCTCTAAAGTTTTCATAAATTGATGTTCGTCTCCAACATTGTAAGAATCAAAGGAAATTAAAGTCATCATAGTTTCTTTGTTTATTATAGGTTTGTGAAGAAGCTCGATGTCCTAATATTAGTGAATGTTGGACTGCGGGAAAGTCTACAGCCGCTACAGCTACAATTATGGTAAGTGTGTCTATGAAAACGAAAAGGCATACGAAATAATGAAGTTTGATGTATTTATATGACGAACAATAAATAACATGATACATTTTCTGCTTTAATCGGAACTACTTGGTTTTGTTCTACATTTATTGTAGTGAATATCTCCTTCCTCATTTTTACTAGAATTCAACGTCTATCGACCTAAATGGCAGATTTTAATTCAGCAGGTCACTGATCTGCCAATTGTATCTTTTAAAGCGTTTATTATTTTCTGGATAGGTTTGTTTTTCCTCACTTTTCTGTTTCTCGTAGATACCGAGAATAATTCGGAAACGTGTTATCAAATGTAATAAACGCATAATATTTCCCGGGCTTCGCCATTTTGAGGGTGATTTATATCAGTTTCTGAAAATAAATTAAAGTTATATGTCAGCAAGGAGAATAACACTGTTATCTTATGTATTAACCAACTTATTGCCAAGATCATCAATGTTACTTAATAGGGATATTGGTAGTCAAAATCAATCTAGTAGGATATTTGACTCAGAGATAAAAGCTATTCTGTTCATGAGTTTGTAGATATCAATACGAAGGTTGGACTTGGTGTTTTTAAATAACTTGAGGATTGAGTAGATAGTTAATGATAAATATATTTTTTGTGATATCACAATGAGTAGAAAATTGTGTTTCTGATATTTCACACAAAGTCACAACGCGTCAAAAACACAATTTTCTACTGATTGGTGTATCATAAAAATTACATTACTATTCTATGTAGTTTGGTAAAACATATTAGGTGTTAACGTAAGAAATGTGTTTCATATTTACACAATTGGATCAGATAATTGCCAGCTATTAATCTTTTTCTTTCTGTTTATTAAATTTCGTGAAATGTAAATGCTAAGGATTTAACCTAAAAATCTATGGGAAATTCGTCAACTTATTTATTCTCCGTTTACTTCTTTAAGTTAATCTACTTATTTGTCAATCGAGACGATTGGTGTAATGAGACACCAAAAACTGACCCACTTGAAATCTCATGATATTCGTGCTGAGAATTCTATATTGTACCAGATTATAATATTGAATAAAGCCATTAATTAATTAATAAAATAATAAAGAATTGATAAAGAAATAATATAGTGCCAATAATAATAATGATAATAATAATCATTGAAGGTAATTGTTCAAGAAGGACAACAACACAGATATCTTTCACTAATTAAAATTTTATGAACCCATAACACGATAATAACAGGGTCGTCACTCCGGCTTCGAGATATGTTTTATGAAGTCTAGGAATACTGAATATATTATTATTGTGTTATAACAGTTCGTTTTCTTTTTTACACGGTGACGTTAATTTACCTTCGACGAATATCTAGACTAGATTCCCTCCCAGTGTCTACTCTACTCTACAACTCAGACCAAGAACACATGATTAGCCTGACTAGAACGTAAATATATTTCCACACCGAAACCGACACAATCCAACAACAAATAGACAATCAATAATAATAAATAATAAGGCTAGGGGAATATATAACTCATCTGACACATGTCAGATTATCTACATGTCTGACTAAGCAGATAACCAATCATTACCATTCTCGCCCACACATCAGACTGGCATCCTCTAAGACCAACACATTCCACTTTTTGTTATTTCACAGCCGGCCACTCTGTTTTCAAGCAGTCCATTAATGAACAAATAGCACTTGACACAGAACCTGCAGAGATGTGTAAAAAACTAAACTACTAATTTGGGCATCAATCACAGTGTCCTTTGTGATTGATGAGTTTATATTTTCGAACATTAGCACTACACGGTGTCCTAATTATTTCTAGCAATTTTGTAGAGATCACGATTACAGGATATAGCTCAGTAAGGCCAGTTTTCACAAATGTAAATCAGAGCTACGGAGTTTTACCTCCGACATCTTGCAATTAGGTCACAATTGCTAAATCCCTAAATGGAAGTAAATTGCTGTGTCTTTCGTTACATAGGTTAATTTGTCCGCCACATCAATATCTACACAACTACCCAGATTCGTGAGATTGTTAACTATTTTCATCCGCGTCTACCAATGCCATGAAAGATGCTTCCAATACTGTAGTATAAAAATCATAGCATAATGACAAACTTTTACGAGTTAAGGAAATGTAATTTATCACTGAATATAGACCTATTATAAGTGGGATTGAAACATGTAAAATAACTAGTTACAAATAGTAATGAAATTTCATGTCGTATTTATAATTTTTCTACATATCGCTTTGTGACACCGTGAATGCTTGAAATTTTCTTGTTCATACTTATAAAAGCACGAAACCACTGGAATAATCTATGGAATTCTGCTCACATGTAAAGTGGTTTTCAAAAAGGATGTAGATGACTACATTGATGTAAAGGGTTCAAAAATCTTTTGTGCCGAAATCCGATAAAATTCATATCAGAACTTTACGTTATCTAGTTAGTAAACACGTTTACCAGCGTTGTCTTTTTATATGTTGATTGTCAGAGACCGATTCAATTTAACAGCCATATAGTTACTATAAACATGGACAAATAATAAGAAAGATAAGTGCACTACATGGTTTTTCAATGATAATTGAACAATCCTTGGAAAAATGCACTTATATAATCTTGGTGGTTATTTAAAAGCTGATGGATTAACTTATAATCTAAATAATTCAGCACGTCATTATATTTCTTTACAAAAATTGAGAAATAACTAAAAATGATTAGTAATAAACAGAACGAATTAGATTAAACTAGTGGCTGTAGGGAACACTAGGCAACTATTCAGACTAATAAAAGAAACCGGAACTAAGAAGTCAAGTGTAAGTGAGACAATCTCCGAAAAAGACGGAACCCTTATCTGCTCTCAACCCAAACGTTTAGAACGATGGGCGGAACACTTTAAGGAGCAGTTTAGCTGGCCTTCAGCTACTGCACAACTACCCACTATTCCTAGAAAACCTGAATGGAACATTGAATTAGGCCCCCCGACCCTACTTGAAGTTCAAAAGGCTATAACTAATCTGAAACGAGGAAAAGCAGCTGGTCCCGATGGATTGGCTCCAGAGGTCTTTAAATATGGTGGTCCGATTTTAGCGATTAGGTTGACTAATATTCTGGCTAAAATCTGGGAGACGGATGTAATCCCATCCGACTGGTCACAATCACTGATTGTCCCAATATATAAAAAGGTGTCAATATCATCCTGCGATAACCATAGAGGGATTAGTCTGACCAACATAGCATCTAAAATACTAGCCTCAATAATTATCGGGCGCCTAACTAAGACTCGTGAACTGCAAATACGAGAAAATCAGGCTGGCTTCAGACCTGGTCGTGGCTGTATCGACCACATATTGACTATTCGCCAGGTCTTAGAGCACAGACGTGTTTATCGGCGTCCGACAATGATAGTTTTTCTTGACTTGAAAGCAGCATTTGACTCTGTAGACCGAGAGGTTCTGTGGCAGTGTTTGTCATTGAAAGGTGTACCTCAGAGGTACATAAACCTTGTGAAGGCTCTTTACTCGAACACTACCAGTCGAGTGGGAGCTTATGACGAACTGTCATCTGATTTTACAACCTCAAGTGGTGTCCGTCAAGGATGTCCACTATCTCCATTTTTGTTTAACTTCATTATAGATCTGTTGCTGGAAATAACACTCTCTTCGACTGAATTTACAGGAATTGATCTCCTACCAGGGGGACCACTAAGCGACTTAGAATACGCAGATGACATAGTCCTGTTTGGTGAAGACGCTGGAAAAAAGGCAGTCTTCTGTTGGAACTGAGTAATAATGCCAGGATGTTTGGGATGCGATTCTCCCCATCCAAATGTAAATTGTTACTCCAGGACTGGCCTGCGTCAACACCCGAACTAAGGATAGGGAGTGAAGTAGTCGAACGCGTCGACAACTTCACTTATCTTGAAAGTCTGATCAGCCCTAATGGGTTGTTGTATGACGAAATCTCTTCACGGATTCAAAAAGCTCGTTTGGCTTTTGCCAACTTACGTCACCTATGGCGAAGACGAGATATCCGTCTATCAATTATGGGATGAGTATACTGCGCATCAGTTCGCTCTGTTCTACTTTACGGTTGTGAAACATGGCCATGAAGTGTAGAAGATACTCGTAGGTTACTAGTATTTGACCACAGATGCCTTAGAAATATTGCTCGCATCTGCTGGGATAACCGGGTAAGTAATAGTGAGGTTAGACGAAGGGTATTAGGGAACGATGGTAAATCAGTTGATGAGGTGATGAATCTTCATCGACTGAGATGGTTGGGCCATGTGTTACGTATGCCTGAACACCGATTACCACGACGCGCTATGATGACTAGTGTAGGGGATGGTTGGAAGAGGGTTAGGGGAGTCCAAACCAAAACTTGGCATCAGTGCATGAAGTCACTAACTTCTAGTCTGAGCCATGTTGGCAGATGCAGACTACCTGGTTGGGGTCAGCGTGACTATCGTAACCAATGGTTGGAGACTCTGGGTGACATGGCTCAGAGTCGATCACAATGGCGTAGGTGTATACACTCTTTATCTTCCTTTAAACCTTGAGACTAAAATTACTTCATATCTCTCTTCCTTCCTGTACTATATCCTTATATACACCCTATAATTTATATACTACTACCACCACTAAATTAATTACTTCTATGAATCCGGTGTTCATCTTGTTGTGCTAACGAGGTATGGCAACTTGGACCGATGCATAAATGTGCCTGGTCCTACGTTGTAGCTGACTGACTGACTGAGATTAAATTAGTACTATGTGGTTAACATTTAGAGAATGAATAAATGTAGTTGTTCTTCTATTATGACATATTCTCTCCAAATATTTACTTGATGCATTAAGCAGCAAATAATATATTTCATAAATCTTAAAACTATTTTAAACATATTGGGTTTATTTATTATTTAGGATATTAGTGTTTTAAAATTCTTTTTTAGATAATGGGTGATACATGTACTAGAGGTTGTCGGTTTTGTTCTGTTAAAACTTCACCGAATCCACCACCTCTTGATCCAGACGAACCAGTGAACACTGCAGAAGCCATAAGCAAATGGGATGTAGACTATATTGTCATAACATCAGTTGATCGTGATGACTTGGGAGATGGAGGGGCACGACACATAGCTAAAACAAGTAATATATATGTTAAATTTTCTGTTCGTTCTATTTTTTATCTGGTAATCCAAGTATTTTGTTAATCAAGACAATAGTCGCTGTTAGATGTCAATGACTTATTACAAAACCCATCTTCAAATCCAAAAAAATTTTAGTTAGCGTTTTTAGTATGTAATACAAAATATCCTTTTTCATTCTCACCTTGGACTTAAGGTAGCTATTGACTCTTATAGTCACGTAGTTTTGTGACAGTGTCTGTCATCGAAGGGCATACCAAGAAAGTACATAACCTTATACATGGTCTGTACTAGTTGAGTCAGAGCTTATGGCGAATTGATTACTTCAAGGGGTGTTCGTCATGGTTTTCTGCTTTCCCCGCTATTATTTAACTTTGTCGCAGACATGCATTTAGAGATAATGCTCTCACCGTCTGACTTTTCAGTAGTTAATCTTCTACCAGAAGATTCACCCATTGGCTTAGAATGTGCAGATGAGATAGTTCTGTTAGGCTATAAGACGCTTACAAAATATAGAGTTATCTAACCACTCTAAGTAACAATAAAACCATGTTTGGTATGTGGTTCTCTCCCTCCAAATGTAAAATGCTACTTCATAATTGGCTTGCGTCATCTCTTGAATCAGTAATAGGCAGTGAAGTAATTGAGGAAATCGACCGGTTCATTTATTATGCGAGTTTCAACAATCCTGATGGGTTGACGTTTAACGAAACCTCACGTATTCAAGTTTGATTGGCTTTTTCCAATTTTCATAGTTGAAATCATGGGTCAATTAAAGTTAGACCACCATCGAAAACCTGGAAGCACTGGACGGCCGTTTCGTCCTATTAAGGGACTCCTCGGCAGTGCGCATCCACGATTCCGCATTCGCGAGATTCGAACCCAGGACCTACCAGTCTCGAGCCGGAGCCCTTAACCGATAGACCACTGAGGCGGCATCCAATGATGTTAATGTCTAACTTCAACCAATCCACGATTTTGAGCGACCGTTCATCAGTTGTCCAATTTTCTAATTTGTGTCACCTGTGACGTAGGTGATATGTCCATTTGGCAATCAAAGAACGAGTCTATTGCTCAGCAGTGCGCCTCGTTCTACTCTGTGAGTGTGAAACATGACTATCAAGAAGAGTACCATTATTTGTATATCGTACTCTGCCCTAATCAAGTAGAGTACGTAACAAATACTTCTACTACTATGCAGTTCGCCCTAGCAACTTCGTCTTGCTTTGCTAGTACAGTATAACAACTTTAACTGTTGTACACTCATCACGTACTACGTTTTATTTGACTAATTAATTCTCAATCTGACTGGTCAAACCGATGAGTTTTTACTATTTTTTACAGAATTTTGTCCGTATTTATTCTAACAACTTTGGTTCGTTTGCGTAGAATAACTTCGAAGTGAAGCTTTAGTTATATAACTGGATCTTTACTTATTCGTACTTAAAGCATAATTTAATGCTGTACGTCTAGAAATCTTTTAGGATCAACAGTATCATAAATCCTCTAAATTCACTCGTGACAATTACACGCCTTCCTAACCACAAAACATATATATGTACTCTCTGTTTTTGATACAAGCTGAAAATTCAATCGTATGCAATGTCTGATTATTTGTATAGGATTGTGTGTAGGCAATTACTATAAGCATAAGCCCTAAATACGATAATGTATTGATATTTCACTTTTGACTTGCTGTAGGTGTTTCAGATGAGTTGTAACTATTAAAATACATTTCATTTTTCTCCCATACGCACAAATTGCGAATAAACGTTTTGCAATTTTTTATTTTCTAGTTCGCCAAATAAAAGTACGTAAACCATCAATTATAGTTGAATGCTTAGTACCAGATTTTCAAGGGTGTACAGACTCCATTCATACAGTTGTTCGTGCTAGTCCCGAAATATATGCGCATAATATTGAAACTGTGGAGTCACTACAACGGTGAGTGTCTTTAATCAAAAATATGATTATTCACATACACCAGCTATATATAATATATATATAAAGATGACCTACAAGCGGCTCTTATAAACAATTGTTTACTGTCGACCATTCTTCCGGTTTTGGACTATTCGTTATTTAATTAAGGAATTGTCACTACAGGATTATTATGCAAAGCAGTCAAGTTTAATACTGCCTTCTTTGGGACTAAACTGCTTTCCAAAATATATCGCATGTTACTATGGGATCGTATTTTTGAAGATTGAAGAAATGTGTAACTATAATAGCTTAATCGTTAATGCAATATAAGGAGTTTTTCAGTTAAACTGCTAGTGTATCTGATATCTTAGCATTAAAACTAAATAAAAGGAATAATCAATTCAACGTTATCTGTTTGTATAATGTATTCAGTTTTCTTTATGATTATTGAGTGTTTTATATAATTTTATTCCAAGAACTTTTAAATTCTTTTAGCGTTGTGAGGGATCACCGAGCTGGTTATATTCAGTCACTTCGAAGCCTAGAGACTGCAAAAGAACGTAGTAATAGGCTTGTGTCATCCGGAGATGCCGACTTTTTAGTCGTCACAAAATCCAGTATTATGTTGGGTCTTGGTGAGACAGAAAAAGAGGTAATGATAGCTCTTAAAGACTTACGTCAGGCTGGAGTTGACTGTGTAACAATTGGACAATATGTACAACCGACTAAGCGTCATCTAAAAGTGAGCTATTGTCAGCTTTTAATTTATTTTAGTTTTACTAAAATAAATAACTTTTTGGACTTATGAATAATTAGCACTAGAGCAGAATTCATGATACTACTATTCCGTTAAGTTAGTTTCTGCAACTAATAGACTGGTCTAATAAAAAAATTATTTTCGTGATTTCAGATATAAAGAAAAACACTCGTACTTTAATAATGAGCTATTGCGTTGTATAAAATATGATAAGCTCGTACAACAGGAGCGATTCATCTCGACCCTTGATAAATCAAAAATTTTGTAAATCACTATAATAAAGTATGGTAAATTGGTGCAACATTTTACCTAGTCGAGTTTTCAATGAATGAATATTTTTTTAATGATCCATTTCTTCGTACAAATGAAATGGGATGTTGTATTTTTGTACTTTAGGAAGGTAATACACAAAAGGCAGTCCGTGATTCTTTCTCCTTCAGATTGTTATGAGTTGAGTTATCAATTCCTTAAGAAGTTTATTGACTCTGTTTACGATTGTTCCTCCATTCGACCTACAATGGGATGCATCTAAATCTTTTGAAAAAAACACTACTGAAATAGTACATGAAGAATTCCTCGAACCTCTGGAAAAATATATTCGTTATTTGTCAAATATAAAACTAAACAAAAGTGCAAGTTTTAATTGATATCATGAACCGATCAATGTTAGACCACCATACCTATACTGATTATCATCATGTGCTAACTAGTGACTAGCCTCCAGAAGTAATTCTCGGAGTTTTGGTGAGAAGCCGTTGTGGTGTTATCTACTTATATCTATATAAGTAGTATATGGTGTGGGTCAGACATAGAATGTATTTTCGCAGAAGACCGATGAGCAAAGAACTGAAATGAAGCGCAATCGTTTGGAAAATGCATGAGCAATGGAATTAGAGAAGAAACAGTGAAGATTGAAACAATTGGTTGTTAATTTGCAAATTGACTGTTCATTGTTTGGTAATCAGAATTTACTGAGATAGTCTGTAATGTTTGCTTAAATACATCCGATTGTCCCCAACTAGTGTCCTGTTCACTACATTTGGTGTCGCTGCCAACCGGGAGGAGGAAGGGTGCTGTTCTGCGGACGCCGCTGCGGGTCTGGAGTTGAGGTGCTAGTTGGGGCAGTCTGGTGCGGAGAGGTTGCGTCGAGTGGAGTGTTCTGGCGGGGCGGCGTTGGCTGTAGCGGGTGCTATCGACGGAGAGGAGCAGCGGGACGTGCGGCTGCTGAGCGGATATCGGATGTAGATGGCTCAGCAGGCCGGTGGAGTACGGATGTTGAACGTCCCAGGTGCCGGGTGGATGCGAATGTTGGTGCCCCGGAGCTATGGAGGTCAGCGCGCCGCAGACTCGACATTCTGACGGAGTGTTTGGCACAGACTGCAGTGAAAGAAGATAGTGGCGTGGCGAGCAGAACCACCGCATGGTCGAATGCTTTAAAGGGGGGACGAGTGTGGTGTGGTCTACTTATATCTATATAAGTAGTATATGGTGTGGGTCAGACATAGAATGTATTTTCGCAGAAGACCGATGAGCAAAGAACTGAAATGAAGCGCAATCGTTTGGAAAATGCATGAGTAATGGAATAAGAGAAGAAACAGTGAAGATTGAAACAATTGTTTGTAAATTTGCAAATTGACTGTTCATTGTTTGGTAATCAGAATTTACTGAGATAGTCTGTAATGTTTGCTTAAATACATTCGATTGTCCCCAGTCGTGTTCTGTAACCGCTGTGAAGCAGTAACGAACTGAGCACAATGGAAGATGGTCGCGCAATATTGTGGATTGGTTGAAGCTAGACATTAACACCGGTTCACAGTTTTCAATGTTGGTCTAACATTGGTCGGTCCATAGTCTCAATTAAAACTTAACAATCTCCACAACCCTATACTAATAAAACTGAAAGTGTAGTTCTCTCCCAAAAGATTAATAAAATCTGATAAAAGTTTCCATGTTGTAAGAATATATTGAAGACACCCTGTCTGAAAATGTTTTGAATTCTCAACGATACATCGAAATTCCAGATTGACAAATCTAAGAAAGATTCCATCTGTAACGATCGGAAACATAATCGATAAATATTTTAAGGAAACTCATTAGTAACTCAACGCACAGCAATCTAAAGGGGGAAAGGATGACAGACTGTCTTTCGTGCATCATCTTAAAGTACACAAATCCAACATCCAATTTGGACTTATAATGTCTATGTTAAACTCATCATGTCATAAGTTAACTTAATTCTTATTTGGATAAGTAGGACCAATTCTTGGGAAAATGATGCCCTATAGTCTAAACGACGTATTTCATTTTCCCGAAGAAATGGGTCACTCAAATATATCAGATAAATGCATAATTTTTAATTAATGTTGCATGAACACTAATAATTTAACAGTACCTTTATATCGTTGGCTGTAGTAGTCATTAAGCCTAACTGCTTTTGCAAGTCATAGAATCTTGATATAGAAGACTTGTACTTATAAACCCTTTCATTTTATTAAAGTTTAGGCTTCTAGTCAATTCTTCTCCTCTGAGAAAAATTTATCTGGACATCGAAATCTATCACCTGCTAAGCAAAATATTTTCTGTTAGATAAATTAGGTAACTCAACACTACGTTTTAAGTGATTAAATCGTTGAAACTGGTTTCTCTGTTGATCAAAGTAATCGACTAGTTCTTATCCTCACTTAATGATTGTTTGTAGTGTTTGGGTGCTCCTGAACTAACTGTAGCGCTACGTTTTAGTAGAGATATTTCCTATCACGAATTTTCAAAGTTGGGTCCCACTGAAGCAAAAGAGGAATCTGATCCATTCTCTCTGTATGAGCGTTAGATGTTTCTGTTTCGAAGATACAATCGATATCTAAATTGATAAACTACGGCACATACTGACCAATAATAGATATCCGCCTAGATTCACTGGGAAAGATAGAAAGTCGAAACAACAACGCAGAAGTTCCCACAGTACCAGAGAAGACTTTCTTCATGGACATGCATTCTAAATATACTGCAGCAGAAAAATTTTGAAAAACAGGCTATCAAGATCCCTGAAAAAACATCCTAGTTGGTATATAATTCCAAACCATATGAAGGATAAGCTCTCGCTTTTGGCCGAATTAATGCTGATCTGTTAGTTTACTCGCTCATGTGGAGCAGGTTATGTTGGCCAGATCTGAGAAAGCCATATCGCATGCAGCTATATCGTTAACTACAGCAGAACGTAACTACAGTCAGGTCGAGAAGAAAGCATTTTCGATTATCTTCGGCGTAAAGAAGTTTCATAAGATGATAGTTGAACGCCAGTTCACTCTACTAACTGACCATTGTTAGCCATTTTTGGGTCGAAGAAAAGTACCCCGGTGTACACAGCAAACAGATTGCAACGGTGGGGAAATACACTCTCGGGTTATGACTTCAAGATCAAGTACCAGCCTATTACTGATTTTGGACAAGCTGACGCTTTGTCTAGACTGATTGTTTGACGAGTAAAACAAGAAGATACCTTGGTGACAGCAATTGAGATGGAAGCAGAAGTACATCGAGTGTTGGAAGACACAGTCGATGGTTTACCAGTTACTTTCATACTATCAAAGAAGCCTCGGAAAATGACAAGACATTAAGAGAAGTTAGTGGTTATCTCCTCATCAAGTGGTCGAACCGTCATTTTCGAGAAGAGATGTTACAATATTTTCGCCGGCGAGACTCACTCATGATTGTCGATTCATGTATTAAGTTTGGTGACAGAATTATTGTTCCAAAAACATTACGCCACAGTGTTCTGAAACAATTCCACAGCGGCCATCCTGGTGTAAGATGAAAGCGTTGGCTCGAAGCTGAATTTCATTGGTCGGTTGCCATTTTTTAATGTACTATTTTGTGACGTTTTCCAAAGACATTTTTATGCTGTATACATACGCTTGAGTTGTATGCTTGTTATTGTCCGTGCTTCTGGAATATACCGTCCCTCATCTGAATATAGATTTCTCCCTCTAGTTGGTGGGACTGAGACGCACTGGACTAGTTTAGATGTTTTGTCGTTATGTCACTGGTCCTTCGTCCCTTTCGCCGATTTAGGGTGACCTCGTAATCTCTTCAAACAGCAATTTGGCAATGAGGATGGTGCAAGCATGGACCCTTCAAAAGTGAAATTATTGTTAGAACAGCGACTGAAAGTGATGCAAATGTTAGCAGGAACGAAAAATTGTTCCTACCGCACAATCGAGCACATCTAATTCTACTACTGCACCGTTAGTTGATGTAATCGCAAGCAGTATCTCTGGATTTCATCGCGATCCCGATACCAATGTTATTTCTCATATGTGGTTACGGCGCTATGAGAACTTATTTATTCTGCTAACCGAGATGAGACTTGGAAGCCGGGTCCTTATGATTTAATTTAATTTCGCCTCTGAACCCACATCACTACTCACTCTTCGACATCGTCCAGTCATTGAGCTAACAGTCTGGACATAACTCCTCACTGTTCAACGCGCGTTATTGATGTTTGAAGCTGGTTATGAACAAGGACGCTGATTTCATTACGTATGTGAGCATCGTCAAGCGTGAATGCCTCTGGCTGAAGATTACTGTAAAGCCCTCATCTTCATCTAGTCTCTAATCACAAAAGTTCATTGATATTACAAAAAGTTACCGTGCCCATTGGATCAAGATCCCAAACTGACTCTTACAGATATTGCAAATGAATATCAACATTTAATTAATCTGCAACGCGACACTACAATGGTTCGGTGTGGTGGTCCCGATCGTTCGGAATTTTATGTAGTCTAACACAAATGAATCTACCTTTTTGGTGCTCTTTTCAATAACACTGTCACAAGACTTGCTAAACAAGAATCCTTACAAATAATTCTACGTACGTTTCATGTATTAACGAAAATGATGACCTGAATTTCCTAGAATTGATTGTGCTTCAGAATATTAGTGATGTAATAGACATTGGGTATTTTCGGAATAACTTTTAAAATTCTATTTTACATAAATAATACTTCAATGTTTAAAAGATTTCTGAAACAAAATAAATTTCCAGTAATTAAATTCTCTATATTCAATTCTGTTGGTTACTAATCTATAATCAACCAGTTCCCACTTCTTTTGGATAATAACATCTTCCAGATTATTCAATAATTTAGTTTTATGATGGTTTGTAGTAACAGTTTTTGTAATGTAAAACTTGTTAGACATGTTTATGTTATTTTTATGTTGTAGCATTAAATAATACAATTGAACTTTTCTTTTTAAAAAATTTTTCAAGGTTAAAGAATATATTCATCCAGATAAATTTGATTATTGGGCGAAAATTGGCAATGATTTGGGATTTTTATATACAGCTAGTGGACCATTAGTTCGATCATCATATCGAGCAGGTGAATATTATATAAAACACATTATAGATCAACGTAAACAGAAAAACATATGATACGAGATTAAACAACTGAGCACACAAATACAGTTCATATGATGAGAACTTTGAAAATAATAAACCTTAGAGTATAGAAGTAAAGTGTATATAGTCAGTCAGGTTGACTTTTCTATTCAAATTACTTTTTAAACGTTCATTTCACAAGATCTTTTTAGTTATTTTATGAATGATATATATATATCGTTACTGAATATTTAGTTGAAGTAATTACAGATTTTCTTATGAAACAAGAAATTTCATTCTCCAACTTCGAATGGTGAGAATATTTTTCATCCTCCATTATTGAGTGTACTACAGCGTAAGTTTGTTTAACCCTGATAAAAATAGCAATAACTAAAATAACTCATAATGTCATTGAATAAGAAAAAGAGAATTCAGCGAAGAAAATTTTTTTCTTTTCGACGAAATCATTTACTTAAGCTGTACATTCGTATATATAGTGATATGGAAAATATATGTCTATAGGAGGCTAGAAAAGATTGCTTTATAAATGGATTCGACAATAAATAACAAATGAGGTGACGTACTAATCAAGGGGTAAGGAAGAAAATAATTTATGGGTCAGATAATAGTTCAATTGACAGATATGAAGAAAATTGACAAACACAAAGGTCATAATAATAATAAAGAAAACTTGTATAAAGTAATAATAATAATAATAACTGATTAGAGTTTAAATGTAAAGTAGTAATTTAAAAAACAAAAAACCGATAATAATCAGATAAAAGTACAGAAAAAAAACAAAAACCAAAAAACGTACCCGATGAGGGAATCAGGGCCAAGGAAGGGTAAGAGGTTGGACAAATCGTTTCTGCACGCAAAGTTCAGGCTTGAATTCATGGATTGCCAATGCCTCAGCAGTGCATAAAATATTGATTCGACCTCCCTTTGATCCGGTTCCTTTAACTCTATAGATTATTTTAAAAGACGTTTCTTTTGGAGCAATGTGTCCACAATTGATCAAATGCTCTTGTATCGAACTGGTTATATTTTTACATTCACCCTTTAGGAGCCAAGCTGGATAGTGTTCAGAGATACGTTTGGAAAGCGATCGCTTTGTGCGGCCTATATAACCTGCTCCGCATGAGCAAGTAAATTTATAAATACACATCGATATGGCCCAAAGCGAAAGTTTATCCTTAACACACCCCCGAATGGTAGGCCGGCTAGAGAAAACGATTCGGAGCTTGGCTGTGTAGAAAGTTTTATTCAACGTGTTTGAAATCCGTCTATTCAGGATTTCAGCAGCCGTCTCCCTTGAATTCCATATTCATAAACAAGGTTTTCTTCTGCACTGTCAAAGTTATTTCTTGCTGACGTCTAGATGTAAAGTTGCTATCGACGAACCTCGGTGGATAACCGTTTTTGATGAGGGTCTGTCGAAGATGAAGTAATTCTTCATTTATTGTGTCACTAGAACACATTCGCTTAATCCTAGATAATAAAGAGTGAATTAAGTTCCTCTTTCGACTCAGTGGAACCTAACTATGGAAATTCGTGTATTGTCCATTCCAAGTGGGTTTTCTATACATAGATCTTTGTAAATAACCATCAGGCAATCTTTTCAAACGGACATCAAGAAAATGGAATTCGTGGTTCAATTCTGCCTCTAAGGTAAATTGAATTGAAGGGTGGCAGTTATTGAAAATATTTAATATCTCATTGTGGACCATGTCATCATCACAAATAATGAAAGTATCATCCATATATCTCTTATATAAATGAAATTTCTCGATTATTGGACGAAGTGCTGAATTTTCTAAATTATCTGACCCATAAATTATTTTCTTCCTTACCCCTTGATTAGTACGTCACCTCATTTGTTATTTATTGTCGAATCCATTTATAAAGCAATCTTTTCTAGCCTCCTATAGACATATATTTTCCATATCACTATATATACGAATGTACAGCTTAAGTAAATGATTTCGTCGAAAAGAAAAATAGCAATATCTCGCCATTTCTATGTTGATGTGAAGTTAATGCTAGAATTCAACATTAATGGATAAAAAGTAAAAATAGATCTATGTATCGGTATTGACCTCAACGCTGAGCGTCTCATCTTCATGTCTTTCCAATTTGGTACAGATACTCTTTGTGTTCAACAGGTTTTTTGCCAAGTATTTCAGGTTGTATTAGCTTCAAAATTTTGTCCCATATCTTTAGTTTAGCACTCGGTCGCACGTCGAAAACAACCTATATCTATTAAAATGAAAAATCTTCAGCTAAATTGCTATAGTTTTCCTAATATGCTATGTGTAAAAGCCTACATGCAATCACACTTATATGTGTCTTACATTTCCTTCGATTTTTTATTTTCTGTTAAATCAAACTAGCACTAATTAGTTCAGCAGTTTTCGTTATATAAAAGAGAAAAACGCAATGATAGTTTGTGGTGTTACGTATTCTGAGAAGTTTCCACTCATTTATTGGTGAAACTAGGAATGTAACAGTTCGTTTAAAGCGGATTAATTCAAATAGTTTAGTTTTTTGCATACGCTAACTTAATACTACATCTCTATAGGGTGCTACTTCAGTCTCGTAGAATGCAATTCTAAAACAGTAAGCTACGATTATCAATTGTTACTATGTTATCTGTTGAGATTTATCACGTCATTTTTTTCTTAAAGATATACCTGAGGATTAAGTTGGTCATACTTTCGAAGTATGTCTGGATCTAATATTTTATTGATTGAAACAATACACCAGTTTCCAGCAAAACAAAGTCACTAACACTGATTTTAATGATTATCAACAACTCTCAACCAGAAATGACCATACAAATAGGATAAAAAAAGGATACTTTGTTGGAATTAAGTGAAATCCAAGGGAATCTTCACGTTATCATTGAGACTAATTAATTTTTACTGTTGATTGATAGGACCACATTTACCAGCTTGAATGGGTATACAGTTGTTTAATAAATAGTTTTGTGCATCAGAATTCATTCTGAGAGTATTTCGTGATAGATTAAGTTTACTGAAAATTGATATGAATCGCTTGAGCGTTTTAACATATTAACACTAACAGCAGCCACTCGGTCAGTCAGCTACAACGTAGGATCATGCACACATATGAATTGGTCCAAGTTGCCATCCCTCGCTAGCACAACAACATGAACATCTGATTCATAGAAATAGTAAATTTAGTGGTGGTAGTATATAAAAGATAGGCTGTATATAAGGATATAGTATAGGAAGGAAGAACGTTATGAAGCAATTTTAATCTTAAGGTTTAAGGGAAGATAAAGAGTGTATACACCTACGCCATTGTGACCGATTCTGAACCATGTCACACAGAGTCTCCAACCATTGGTTACGATAGTCACGCGGGCCCCAACCAAGTAGTGTGCATTTGTCAACATGGCTCAGACTAGAAGTTATTGACTTCAAGCTCTGATGCCAAGTTTTGGTTTGGCCGCCCCTAACTCTCTTCCAACCATCCCCAATACCAGTGAGCATAGCGCGTCGTGGTAATCGGTGTTCAGGCATGCGTAACACGTGGCCTAACCATCTCAGTCGATGAAGATTCATCACCTCATCAACTGATTTACCATCGTTCCCTAATACCCTTCGTCTAACCTCACTATTACTTACCCGGTTATCCCAGCAGATGCGAGCAATATTTCTAAGGCATCTGTGGTCAAATACTAGTAACCTACGAGTATCTTCTACACTTCATGGCCATGTTTCACAACCGTAAAGTAGAACAGAGCGAACTGATGCGCAGTATACTCATCCCATAATTGATAGACGGATATCTCGTCTTCGCCATAGGTGACGTAAGTTGGCAAAAGCCAAACGAGCTTTTTGAATCCGTGAAGAGATTTCGTCATACAACAACCCATTAGGGCTGATCAGACTTTCAAGATAAGTGAAGTTGTCGACGCGTTCGACTACTTCACTCCCTGGCCTTAGTTTAGGTGTTAACACAGGCCAGTCGTGGAGTAATAATTTACATTTAGAGGGAAAGAAACCCATTCCAAATATCCTTGCATTGGTACTCAGTGCTAATAGAAGACTCTACATCTTATCATCTGCACATTCTAAGTCGAAACGTACTTCAAACATCCTGGCATTGTTGCTCAATCCTACCAAAACTCTACATATTATCAGCGTCTTCACCAGTTAGAACTAAGTCATCTGCGTATTCCGAATCGAGAAGAGAACCACCTCTTAGTGGGAGGTCAATTCCTGGAAATTCAGTTGACGAGTGTTATTTACATCAATAGGTCTATAGTGAAGTTAAACAAAAATGGGCATAGTGGACAGCCTTGCCGCACACCACTTGAGGTTGTAAAATCAGTTGACAGTTCGCCATAAGCTCTCGCTTGACTGGTAGTGTTCGAGTAAAGAGCCTTCACAAGGTTTATGTACTTCTGAGGCACAACTCTCAATGACAGACACTGCCACAGAGCCTCTCGTCTACAGAGTGAAACGCTGCTTTCAAGTCAAGAAAAACTATCCTTACATTAGACCTTGGTTGCTTCAGTATACGGACATTGGGAAAAGAATCCCAGGTAGGGAGAAGATGCGATAAATGAATTACATGTTTGATAATCATTAAGAAGAGGAACTAAAATTTTTAAGTTTTAAGAGCACTGGATGTATTAGGTTTACTGCAAAGTCCAATCAAATAATAGGACAGCTGATCAGCGAATATTCATCATAATTGTTAGATAACACACTTAAATATCGTCCTCAAACATCGAATAAATATAGAATAATACTACAGAAACGTATATACTGTTTATCACTCAATTTTTTATAAAGTAAAGAATCAACCTCAAAACTATCACGCTTATATATTTGTTCTGTACAATTAATACATAAATAGAATGATTCTAATATCGCTGTGATTACAAAAGTGAAATCTCAATATTACTTATTCATCGTAATCTTTTACTTGTCTATAACATATACGGATATATTGCAACTCTCGATAATATATGGTCAGGAGCCCTTTCACTCCAAGATACGTCAATCCACCCTAGAAAA